CAAATATAATATATTATTACTGAATTTATAAAATATTTTAATAAAAAATCAATAAGGAGATAGTACTTTAAATTTAGTAATTGCAACAATTTCTGCAAAAACTCAATCGATAACCAAGTACAGCAAATATTGATTTTTATAATAATCAGATTTAAATAGAAAGTCTTCTGGTGTTGGTAAATTAAAAATTAAATCTAATTATCATCTCTTAAATAAAATTTGACGATTCAATTGTTTAGATTGACCTAGGAATAACATATTTATAAAAATCTGATTTTACCAAATTTACGAACGAATATACATTTATGTTTAAAAGTTATATATGCATAAATAATGCATATATTATTTATGGGATACATAATCGATTTCTTAAAATATTACCTTGTAATGACATTGGTATGTATTAACAGATGAGTATATACTGAAACTAATAATATAATTTCGAATAATAATCTCTATTGCAAAGGACTGCTTATAAGGACTAAGGACTACTAATAAAAGTTAATTAAGAATCATCTATTTTATGATGTTTGCTGAACATGTTTCTTCTTTAATAGCTAATATATATATATATACATACATATATAAATAACTACATTAGGTTTGGGAATTACAAAGATCTTTTATGTAGACAAAATTAAATAAAATATTACATTAATTATCTTTATAAGTTGATTTTATTTTTTATAAATTTTTATAAAATTGGTTCACATAATAGGTAATTTTCTTTTATATTACATTTTTCATATGAAATCTATTAAGATTGCTATATATGTCTATTATAACATTGATTAATATATTATTCAAACGGAACATTAGATATAAATATAAAAGAAAATAATAAAAGTAATTAGCTTATGAGTTTATTTTAATTTTAGAATTTTAGAATAAAATATACTTGCGTATGCAACATTTATAATGAAACATACAATATAAAACATAAAAACTAAATTATAAGTGAAGCATGTCATTATTAGTATATGAATTCTCTACTCGACATATTTGTCATTTCTAAATACAAATTAAATAATGTTTATCCAGTTTAAGTTTTTAACCGTGTTTTTAATACTTTAAAGAAGAAAATATATGTTTTAATACATCTAAATGTTTTTCTAAATTTTTCTATGTTTTAATTACACATTTATAGATGAATATAATATACTTTGTTTGCGTATTTATAGTGAAAAACTTATTTTAGCCTCGAGCATTATAAATACAATATTGAGATAAATTTGTAATAGAATCAATAAAAGATATATTATCATAATTCAATTAAATCCTAAACACCTAAATATTTAAGAATACCTTATATATTTAAGGGTTGATTACATTTTTAAAAATAATTATTTTCTCGAAAAAATGTATAGATAATTATTGAAATTATTTAAACTTTAAAATTAAAGCATATATAAACATTTGCTTGAACATATAATTTTAATGTTAATTTTAAATTATTTACGTAAAAGCATATCTCCACTTATAAAACAATTTAAATTAAAAATTGTTAAATAAAAAGAAAGTTAATTATACTAAGATTTAATGTTTTTTTAATTATTGATTCCGACACACTTGTTAATATAATAATAATAATTTTTTTAAACGTTATATAAAGTTTCATTTATTTTTTTAAATTAGAACTGCTATAAATATTACAATGCAAATAGAAACTTTTTCATAGTAATATCGTATAATAAAAATATATCTTATATGTGATAAACGTTAAAAACTTTAAAACTTTAAAAACAGAAATTTAATATATTATTTCTAAAATTTAATTTTAATAAAATAATTTACCGTTTTCATTTAAAAATGAAATAATTATTTAAAAATTGTTTCCATATGTTCAAAAACTGATATTTTAAAATAAAAGAAATTAATTTGACAATAATTTGAAAATAAATAAATAAAAATTTGAATTTGAAAATAATTCATTGTATTATTTTAATATTTTTAATATTTCTTCATTTCATATTCGTTAAAAATAAAATTTAATTATTTGATTAACGTAGTTTAATTCGAATATTTGATTTTCCATATTTAGTGTAATAGTATTTTAACATTATCATACTAATCTTAGACAATTTTCATAAAAATAAATTAAAAAATTTAAAAAAATGGAGTTTATTCTAATTTGTTGTAGACAGAAAACTTTAAGTATTAGTTTGATTGAATAATACATATTTTTTAATATCCGTTTGTTACGAATAAAGAATAGTTATAGTGTTACCAGTCACTAAAACTGTTTATCGGTTTGAAAATACATATGGATAAAAATGTGAGGACAAAATAAAATATAACATTTATTTTCTGCGGCATATTGGATGTTATTTTATTATATTAAATTTCAAAAGTTTGTGTGTATTAATTACAAAATTGAATACAATTAAAAAATCAAACTTATTCATATCTGTATATTAATATGAATACTTGAATATTGAGTAAAATATTATTTATAATAATTTAACGGAGTTACTACATCTATAATCGCATTAAAAACTATTAGTAATTGTTGATAAAATTCTACGTAATAGTGTTTCAAATATAAATTATATACGAAATTTTTAATTACGAATTAAGTAATGTGATATTTATTTATATATTGCAAAGCTCAATAATATTTCAAATTTAACAATACCAGATATAAGAAGTTTATTTCATCGTATTTTAAAAAATTGTTTCATTTGAACTTTAATTATTATGTGTTATTAAAAATTCAGTAAGTTTATAATGCTGTTTGTTAATAAAATTTTTGCAATGATTTAAATTAAAATACATTGAATTAATTTTATTGGCACTTATTTAAAACTAAATTCATTCAAGGGGTGTCGAATAAATATATGACATATTTATACATTCGAAGTATTATGTTTGTTGCTTTTATGGCATTTATTAGAATGAGATAGTAAAAAAAACTTCATTAAAGATAAATAATATTAATATAAACATTAAATGTTACTAATATTTTCAGTTTTTTTTCAAAATATTTAATGAATTATTTATGTATAAATTAAAATATTTCTTTATAGTTCCATTGTTCTATAGGATTCAAAATTATAAAAAATTTTATTAGTTTAATAAAAAAAAAACTGCACAGTATAAACTGTACAAGGCACTATGTCTGTATAATAACAAATATTTATAGAGTAGTTGAAATATTCTATTTTTTTGCAAGTTGCGAAATGCAAGATTTCTTATATAAAAAAAAAATATATATTATAATAAAATTTCAGCTTACATAAATTTCTAATAATAGCGTACGTGCCTTATAGTTTTATAAAATTGTTCGTATGTGCATGCAAGCTGTATGAGGGCCTGTGTAAGTTAAGTTAATTGTGTCATTGTAATTTTATGCATTCTTATGACCAAAGTCACATTAAAATCTAATAAATGTTTTTACTGATTTTGTATAAAATTATTTTAATCCAACTACTTAGTTGAATCCATTTTTATTAAGAGCAATATATAAAATATTCATCAATATCTCATAAATATATCTTACTTTAGAGAGAACTTTTATGTTTAAATATATATCAATAATAATTTAATTTATATTGTATGTCTAAAAATTCTAACCAATTGATATTTTGTGCAAGTAAGATTTTTCTGCACAAAGAAAAACTTAATAATTTAGACGTTACTGATAAATTTAAAAAATAATATTTTGAATATTTTTAGGATGATTCATATGCTGGTTCCACTTTTACTCCATTTAAAGAAAGTTTGGATTAAAATGAAATCTTCATTTGTTTAAAATAAACGCTCGTTTAATCAAGCATTTTCTATATTAAATATTTATATGAATGATAAATATAACACATTGATAGATGGATTATTTAATTCTTTTTTAAAAAAGTATAATGCAAATAATTTAAGAAACAAACAAAATTTTATTTAAACATTTTTTTATTATTATTTTATTATTTTATTTCAAAATTATTTTGTAAGTTTTTGATATTTGTTAATATATCAATATTTTGAATAAATGATTAATTAATTGTATTCTATTGATTTAACTCTAATTAATATAACTATAATTATAATATTAGGCATATCATATATATATATATATATGAATGTGTGTGTGAGTGTGTGTATGATAAAAGTTGAATGACTAAGGTTATAAAATTATATTTTTGGAATGATTCAAATACATTTCGAACCTCGATTATTTTCATTAACTGGGATGAACAAATAGAGTAAATTTGTAATATAAAATTTTTATAAAATAATGTAATACATATAAATATGTAATACAAAATCTTTATTGTATAATAACACAATTATATTTCTTATTTTAAAATATTAAAAATTTGCTCTATTTGTTCATCCCAGTTAATGAAAATAATCGAAGTTCGAAATGTATTTGAATCATTCCAAAAATATAATTTCTATTTGTCTATCAAAAACTAATAAAATACATATTGATAAAAACTATGAATATAAAAATGATATTTATAAATATATATTATTTAGAATATTAATTACAATGTTATTTGAGAAATTGTTTAATTTATATGTATGTTTTTTCATTTAATTAGACATTATTTTCTTTACGTTTTATTATACTTTTTTATTCTTTATAATTAATTTAATAATTTTTAAATAATTAATTTTGATTAATATTACTTTTAAATTATAATATAAATATTTAAATCTTACATTGTTATATCAACATTAATAATAACTCTCTACATTTCAAATGAAAAAAATTGAATTAAAAATATTTGTTAATTCCTGTTTAAATAAAAAATCTAAAAATAAAATGTTAGCATATATAAAGTATATTGTTAGATACCTCTCTTTTTTATGCTTGAATTTGATTCCACACCATTATGGTGTTTTATTAGCTTAGTTTTGTTCTTATCATTCAATAAAAAAACAACAAATAACCTGAAATATTTTGAATGCAAAGTGCACAGTTGTAAAAATGTTCGTAAGTTACAGGTAATATGTAAATACGGAGTTACGCATGCGTCTTACGTATCAGTTGCCAAGAAAGCGCGCGTAGTTATCCCGCCTGATATCTTATTTGTTGACGTCGATGTCAACTTTAATATATTCCATAGCAAGAAAATAAGCTAAACTATAAATCAAATCATATTTATTAATTACTTGTTATTGATTAAATCATGGAATGTAAAGAAAGCGAATCAATCAATGAAAATGCTTTGAAAGAAGAGAAAGAAAATATCGAACTGGTAAACTTTTTTATAAATATACTATAACCTAAAATTCACCGAAGTAAATATATAATGCCTATGATATAAGATATTTAAATTAAATAAATATAATATATTTTATATTCTATTTTTTAAAATATAGTTTAGTTATATATTTTTACTTCAAAATTAACATGTACATGAAGTTATATAAAATAATACGTATCTTTTAAGGATGATGAATTTCCATCAATGGATGAAAGCAATGATGGCGAAGAAGAAAAAAGTATTTTAAGATACTCAAGCAATTTAAATGACTCCATGACTTCTGAAAATGTACTAAAAAATAGTTTATGGGAAATAGGCCAATTAGCTTGGGCTCGTATGAGTATTTATCCTTTTTGGCCCTGTATGATAACATTTGATCCTAATTCATTAATGGTATTTCAAAAAGTTCAAAGTAAGTTTAATTCAAATTATTAAATTATACTTGTATAATATTATTTATTAAAATTATAAAAGAAAAAATACTATTCATTTGTAGCTATTGGTAAATCCAAGACACATATGATTCATGTTCATTTTTTCAATGATAATGGAAGACATAGTTGGATACCATCTCATCATATGATTCCTTTTTATGGAATTGAAGATTTTCGTAAACGAGCAAATCTTATTACTGATATAATACGAAAAAAAGAACCTAAATTTGCTGCAGCTTTATATGTTAAACCAAATATTTTTGGTACATGGCAAAAGGCAGTTGCAGAAGCTATGGATGTTCTTTATGAACTTGACATGACTGCGTTAGATAATTTCAAACCACAGTTAAAAGACTTAACAAATAATATTTCAAAAAGTAATAGTGTTAATAGAAAAAGAAAACGTAAAGAAGAAGACAGTATGAACAAAAAAAAAGTAAACGACACAAAATCCTGTACTGTCTGAAATTTTAACTATATTAGGTAATAATAAGAAATTTTGATTTTCAGTTTTTTAAACAAACTGATTCAAATAACGAATTAAAAGTGAGTACAAATACAGGTAATTTGGAAGAAGAAAGTAATTTAAATTTAGAAACTCCACCGGTTTCACCTTCAAATGAGGATGATATACGAACAATTGCGATACAAAAGCAAAAACGTATTACCAAAATGATAAATAAGTTACAACCACCAGATTTTGAAGTGTATGTTGAAAGAAATTTCTTTACAGTAAAAGAACAATACTTGGATACAACAGATGAGCAGGTGCGAAAATATTTATATGATATTTGGGAAAATATGGCACCTGAAGAGAAATTAAAATATCGTGCAGCATATAAAATTGAAGGTGATAGTTAATTATGTGAAGTTTATTACCTCAAAATCATCAATAGTTAGTTAGGATTAGATAATTTACATGAAATCAATATTATAATCGAGTATTTTTAAATTTATATTTTGATATCATGTTATGAAATTGTAAATTATAGATAATGAATTAACTTGAATAGGTATGTAAAAAAATTGATTTTACAAAGTTGTTTTTGAATTTCGAGAACATTAAAATTTTACATTTACTTTAGACTGCAACTCGCTAGTTAAATAATTTATACGATACCTCAGAAATATTTTTTTTTTTAATTTTTGAAATGGATATTATTTCAAAATATTCCAATCTACATCTTTGTTACTATAGTAGTAAATAATAACTGAAATATGTGGGTTAAATAAAATGCAAGAGTTATTAGCTATTTACTCAGTTTCGCAATACTACAATAAAAAGTTAATCTAACTAATTAAATATATTCATATTAATTAAATGTATAAATAAATATATAAATAAAATTCCTATTATTGCATAATATATTATTTATATATATAATAATTAATGAAGATTAATTTAAAAAAAAGAAAGTTTTTCTGGGTAATCATTTTGTAGTAACTAGTAAGTTGTAAATATATTATAACAAATTTATGATATATATTATTCTAAAAATGAATTTTCTAAACATTTTTATTTTTAAAATGAAATGAATATCGTAAATGATTAAATGAAAGTTTGAAAAGAAATTGTTTGTATCAATTAGAAATTCTTTTCGAACATATGAAATATTTTATAATGCTATATAATATAGATTTAATCCTTTAATTATTGGTATCTATAATAGATACACTTATATATATTTTTTTTTAACTTAATACAAAGTCAAAATATGTCCTTATCTAAAAGTTTAAATAAACATCATTAAGTTACATACTCGTTCATTCCTTTTACAATTTGTTAATTTTGATATGTCTATACCATTTTGACCAGAAGTAATTTCATAGAAAAAAAATACATATGTATTTAATTTCCTGTATAAATAATGCTAATGGCAAGACATTTTTATTTTAACTTAATATCTGCAAATACAAAACAGTTTACTTTGTATAGATTCACTGATTACTATTGCTTAAGAGCAATTTTTTAATAATTATAAAAGTAAAATTTCTGGTGGAAGTAACTATTATTAAAATAATTTTAATCGATTAAGTATGTAGTTATTATTTTTTGTTTGTTAATTTCTATATATCGTAGAATTCATATATTTTTATTTTGCATAAGGTGATTCATCATATCTGATGATTTTTTAAGAATAAAATATGTTAAAAGTAAATTTAGAAAATTTCCAAATGATGAATCATCAACTCTATATTTTAAATATTGATTTAAAATTGTTAAAATTGTATGTATGTATTAAACAAAATATTTTGCATATGCTTTAAATAAATATGACAAGATTGACAGTTAAATTGCCTTTTATTTATCCTTAAAATTATTTCAAAACTTGTAAAATAAATAATCTTCAAATTTATTTTCAACGATTACCAAGCAAAATGGTTATGTGGGAAGATCAAGAGAATAACAGTTTATAATGCAGTAAAATCAAACAAGAAATCGTGTACTACGCGTTTATTAATTATTAATATTATATTTATATATGTATATTAAACGTTTCGTATGTATACATGATGAATCATTTAAGCTTGGTTGTTTCTTTTCTTATAAGATACATACATGATTTTTCTATTTACAAGGCGCAATCGTTATCTTCGACTGATTGTTTACGACAAAAAGATCGAAACAATGTCAAGCACCAATAACACATAAGAAATTCGGCGGTATCTCTATATAAATGTGTCTGCATAATTCTAGTTTTGTTTGAGTTTGGCAAAATCAATCTCTGCGTAGTTGAAACCTTCTTGCATTGGAGTCGGCGAAACTGGAGGAGCTCCGGCAATTTCAGGTAGATCAAGACTTGCATAATGCAGGAGCGTCGCACCAGGTTGTAGCTTTTCATAACCTTCGCTATCCAAGGGATTGGCTGTAGGCGTCAGGATTACAGCTGGCATCACGTCCTCGAGAGTCTTTGGTTTGAACCCAGAAGGCGTGGGACTTGTCGTCGGCGAAGCGGTTACGAGTCGCGGTTTTGATACCGTCAAGTCCGATAATTTCTTCGTAATCGGACTGAGCGGAATCACCGGTTCTTGGATTAAGCCTATTGAATTCGATACGAGTCGGATAGATTCATTGTGGACCACACCACTCACGTGCCTGACAAGCAAAATGATAATTAATTTAGGACAAAACTTTTAAGTACATTTTCAATATTCTATTATGTTGTAATTATATAAGAAAAATTTTTTTAATATATTTTGATATATTTTTAATATGAAACTACACATAATTATTTAATTATTGACAGAAAATCAAAAAATTTTAATTACACAAATTTTCTTAAAATATGCCTTTACTTTACATATTTTTTAAATATATGATTAAATAAATTAAAATTTTTAATTCAATTTATAATTATCCTTAAATACTGAAAATACAAATTGTGTAGGTTTTCAATTTATGATGGAAGTAACAAATATGGTTACTATTTTTTGCACCCACGTTATATTAATTAATAAATTTATAAAAGAAAAATATTGATGTACAATTATAAAATTATATGTATAATACTTTTTTTAAACATCAATTATACATAATGTATAATTGAAAATGTGTTATGATTATATTTCTAAGCAAAAGCTTGTTTTTATAAATTTTAATACACATTTATATAATGAAACAAACTATGGTATATTTAGATTTATTTAAAAAATCATATATGAATTATTTTTAAACATATATTAAATATTTATAATGAATATAACATAGGGCTAAATTATAAAACTTAGAAACAGCAATGTGAGATGAAAATCATAAATACCTCGTAATCGAATTCGAAGACGTATAATTATCCAAGTTATCATGGGCTTTCTTTGAGGAGGGGCAGCCATCAACCCCAGGTAATGGACTTGGTGCTGAAATTTTCCTTGTCGCTGGTAGTACGGTGCCACAATCACTCTTTGCGTTTTGATTTGAAATTTCCACTATGGAAGAAGACTTATCATCGTCGACCTGCGACATTGTGAACGGTTTAATGGGCGACTGCGGACTGTTGAGCGAAAATGGAAATATTGTGGCAGTGGAACCCGTAGGAGTGGCATGAGGCGGCGAAGCCGGAGTACTTGCTAAACTGTCAGAGGTCGGACTACCATTAAGCGGTAGAAAGTTCGGAGTCTTTGAAGATTTACTTCCTGCCTGAATCGCAATAGGTAGAGAAGTTTTTTTTTTGCGATTGTTATGGTGTCTTCGATGGTTACGTCCAAGACCTGTGCTCATGTTGATATAGTCTTGCTCAAAACTGAGTTTAGCTTTGAAAGACATCTCTACGTAACCCTCTGGTGGCCGCCGTGGTTGAGGTAGGTCCATTGGAGCTGTTCTGGTAATTCCAGGTGGTCCATTCATTTGCGTATAATCATCATGACACGGTGACGGTATTTGCCTTGGACTTATTCGTAAATGAGACCAATCTTCTATAGGCCCATTCATTCTCACATACGACGATTCCGTTTCTTCAACAGGTTTCAACATCGACGAAATCTGAGTTATAACTGGTTTATGAGTAGAGATTACCAAAGAATGATTGTGATTGTGGTTATGATTGGCAGTAGTAATATTGTTATTGTTATTATTATTGTTATTGTTGTTATTGTTGTTGCTGCTATTTCGATTTATCTGTGAAAGCAAGAATAATATATAACTTAACGATGTCAATTTACATAGATTTATTATTAAGTTTTTGTTAAATTTCAAAATATGTAATGAATATGAATTGATAAAAATAATTGATAATAAAAATAATTGATATATAAATAAAAAAGTATTAATTTAAAAAAAAAATTGATAAATCTATTTAAATACTGCATTATCCATTCTATTATTTTAACACTCAATTTATTATAAAATATATTAGTTATATAATATTATACCATACATTATATTGGTAATGATAGTTGTTAAATAATAAATGATGATTTAATTATATAAAACAAATTTTTAATACGTGTGAATGTTATTAATCGATGATTGAATCATATTTTAAATAACATAAATGGATAACAGATATTTAAATTATAACAAAAAACAATAATATTTCTCATTTGACTATTAAAATCTGTTATATTTTCATTTTTTTATCGAGTTAATGTTCAAAAACAAAAATCATTTTAGTAAATATTTTACGAAAGCCCCAGCACGTATTACATATAATCAATTAATAGTATATTTAATTAATGTACTTATGAGAGAAAAATAATTATTAATTTTATATAAACTACTTACCTTGATTGGTCCATTCATGTCAACACAGGGACCAATAATTGATAATGACAGCTGTCCAGGAGACATGTCAATATAGGAACTGATATCAGTGACTGTTGAATATGATTGCGATTGAGAATATGAAGGAGATGATGAAATCGTAACTGGAACATTGGGTCTAGTGAAATCCAGCTCCATTAGATCTTCCATTCGTTCAGAAGTAATAGAACAACCAGAATTATGACCCCATGAACTTGATAAAAGAGGTGCTGAGCTTGACTTATTCGAGTGTGAATTTTCAATCCCAACGACTAGTGGAGCAGTAATAACTTTAGCAAGTCTCCCAATTTCAGGTCTTTTAGATCTGCTTCCTACAGAAAATGCTCGTACTCGGCTTGAATCTTGTTGAGTAATGTCCAATCTGAAATTAGAGATTAAATTTTATTTTATATTTTTGATATTATGAACCATTTCCTTTGTACAATTAATAATTAAAAACTAAAATAATAAATAAAAAATTATCATTAAAATAATTAAGTTTATTCAACTTATAAATATATCTTCAGATTAATTTTGTTATAGACACCATATGCTGGCTAATTATGAAGTTCAATAGCAGTTGTGTAATAATTATAATAATAACAATAATTACACTTAAGTGAGTTATAAAAGCAAAACTTGACAAAAATTGTGCAAGTTTCTTTGCTAAAACTATTAATAAATAGTTTCACCTGTTTTTCCTGTGTCTATTGGCTTGCTCTGGCCTTGATCCCACAGAGTAAGCTCTAGTTGGTCTCGCTTGTAGATCTTCTCCAGGTGTTAGAAAACTGGTAACTTTGTCCAGATGATACTCAGAGAAGCGTAGATCCGTGCTTGGCGTGCCAGAAGTAACGGAACAACTACTGCCTCCATGTTGAGATATATCGTCAGGGAAATGGCCATTGTGGTTGTGGACAGGATCCATATCGACGTAGCCATCATCACCTACAGGAGCCATAGACACATAACCATCAGGCAAAGTACCACCCTCTTCAACAAGCGATGAAGCACGGGAGTGTGAGTGGATACATGTGGCTGGGCTCATAGGCATGTATACTCCTCGGCTGGGGCTAGAGCTGCAGGGGCTGTACATCTCAACATAGGAACTCTGCTGTAGTAATCAAGAAATATTTCCATTAATAATGGTTATTAAATATTTATTATATTAAAAATATGGTATTACCGCTGTAGAAGTTAGCGAAGTTATCAACATTATTGAGTTTCTTGTAAAATCAGTCTTTATATATAATTCAATACAATTCTTTATTAAAATCTAAATTAATATAATTTATAAAATAATAATTGCAAGAACATTCCCAATATTTTTATTTTACTTATATTTATAGGTAGTTGATTATCTTTGATTATTAAAGAATTATTTCCTATGCAAGTATATTTAGTAAAGAAAGAATAATAATTTTAAAATATTTTCATTAATAAATTCTCTAATTTATAATCTATTTATAATAGAAAAAAAAACAAATTAAAAAATATACAATATCGATATAAAATATAAAACAAATTAAGTTTTATTTTTAAAATTTATCATAAAAATACTTTTTTAATATATAAACGTTTACATAAATATATTCAATGAAAGAAAATTTGTTATCAATATTAAAAATAAACTTTACGTTTTAATGTTACTGTACAAAATTGAAAATTCAAATTATAGAATATATTATTAAAAAATTAAATGTCTACAAGAATAGATTTATTTAAGTTATTTTACTAGATTTAAATTTTTCTTTATCTAAATGATCATTTAAAGAAGATAATGCAAATAGTATGCTTTTGCAGATCAATTGTTACATTAAATACATGCTAATTAAATATGCTTCTATAACAAGTAGATTAGTACAATTTCAATGCATGATGGGTTTCCTTCAACTCACTTGTGAGGGAGAGCAAGACTTGAAATTAGGTGAGTACTTCTGCTGGTGGTTGGCAGACCAAGGTACATAGTCGTCGCTGTTTTCCTCAAGTATAACAGGCTCGTCGGGTGTGAGTGAATGTCCATATTTTGATATCACTCCTTCCTCCATATTTTCAGAAGCATCATCCATCGAGAGGGAGGAGCATGCAGCCGAAGCTGGATTGATAGGTATGGAAACGACTGGAGGTGAATAAGACATTACTCGGCTGTGCATAGAATGGGGTCGAGGTACATGAGATGTCAAGTGGCCAGCTCTTGAGTACTGCTGCTGTTGTTGCTGTTGTTGTTGATGGTGGTGGTGATGTTGTTGCTGAACAGCGATAATAGTCATTGCGCTGATATTGCTTGGGTTGCCTTCACTCGTCGTCCGTGCTCTTGAAGGTAAGCTGTCACACCTGTCTCGTACCGCTGGTACACCTGAAAAAAAGTTAAATTGAAGATTTCATAGGCAAATAACGTAAAAATTTTTTTGCGATGGTGAAACGTAATCCCATACATAAAGTGCAAAACTTTTTTTCAAAGCCAATACCATTATATCCGATACGATTAAATGTTAGTGGAAGGTTTACTTTTTCATTATAATAATTTTAGTATTACACACGGCATATTTAGACGATATATATAAATGATGTACAGGCACGCTGGTATTAAGGTTTTGTATCTTGTTATTACACTGTTAATGAAAAATAAAGACAAGAAGATACAGTTATATACATATATGTATGCACAATAAAATCATTTGAACGTATTGATATTGCTTCAAGTGCTCAAGAAGTACATAAAAGGTATTACGTTGTCATCTCGTTGCCTTGGTTCGGCATTTAATGATATTTTATTAACTTAAAAGTATTATATATCAAATTGAGTGACAGTGCTAATAAATTGAATTTTGCATATTTACATAAAAGTCTATTTTTAAGTACTTATAAAGATATAATAAATATGGCTTGAAAAGTAAAGTCGGAAATGAAATAGTAATTTTGTCATTTTCCTAAAAATTGTTACTCGAATTAAAAACATGTCTATATATATATACTCACGCTCATACACGCGGAAAGCATATATAAAGTAAATAAAATTTATCGACATAAATATAATATATACATATATGTCCAATATAAAACATTAGCGTTTAATGAAACTAAACATAAATAATAGTATATAGAATCTAACAATAAACTTACAACAGATAAAAAATCCTGTCAATAAAGAAAATGGAGGGAGAAAAAACATGTTCGTACGCTTTATAGTTGAATCATAAACATAATATTGCGTATACCGCGCGCGCACACACATCGTATTACACACCAGCACGCACACACATACATATATAACTCGTATCAAGAAATTTAATGTCGTTAGAGAACAAAGTGAAACTAAAAGCATGTGCGAATATCACGGCATGCAAGCAACATTAAAGTGATACCCCAGAGGAAGATTCCTGGTATGAAGTTTACCGAAAGTTCATCACAGGATTGCACTGCACTTTTTGGGATATATACACTGTTATACATAAGAATAAAACAGTTGTTTAATCGTTGATAAAAAGCACTGATTTAACATTTTATTTGTTAACAGTATGACGGGAGATCAAGAATTTCATCTGATGCGAGAGAGCATGAGAAAAAGAGAAACTGAAAATACATACAGCGTAACACGGGTCTTTTAGATGATTGCATTTGATTGATAACAGCGGCTAGGGGCAGCGACAGGGTTCTCTGATGGGATATTGTCGCGGTTGTGGTAGTGCTTGTTGTACTCGATGACGATGTTGTATTGGTATAAATGAATTGGGAAATATTGTTATTGTTGTAAGGGAGTGGATGACTTGCTACCGAATGTCGACGTGTATTCGTAATGACAGCGCCGCTTTTAGTACAGATGATTGTGCCCACGATTCTTTTCTCGTTTAGACCAACGGCAACTGCAAATTTATACCACAACCCTCATTCTCCCGTTTACTTTTGGCATACAAATTTTCTATATGCTTTAATTTCCTCTGTATATCTTTATATTTTCAGTTATTTGTTTTTATTATTATCACTCTATATAAGTATTAAGATCTCTAAAACTATTTAACTTTTTAATATTAGAAATCATCTGCCACCCAAACAATTTTATCAGCAAAATAATCATATTCTTTTTTTGAGTTATAATCATCAGTGATTATAATTCTAATATTCCAAAACACATTATATACGCTTTTTGTTCTCAAATGCTACTGTGTCTGAAAACTCACTATGTAAATATTTTATATCTAAAATTTCTTAAATTTGTAAATACATAATCATCAAAATTGAGATATATATTATTAAATTTATAAGATTTCAATGATTTTGAACAATATAAAACCTAAAATAATACTTTTAAAGAGTATACGAAATGGGGTAAGCAACCAGCGGATAACATTTAAATTTGAATTTAAATACAAAATTATAGCAAGTAGCAAAAGCATTTAAAAAAACTTTTCACATCTAATTACTAGCATGGGGGTGATAAAGAATTGAATGGAATTCATTTAAAAATAAAAATAAGTTTACAATTTCATTTATTTGTTATAATTTGTACTCTATAAAAAATTTAATATTTCACATAGACAGATATGTAATAAAAAATGAAATATGTTTTAACAAAAAACAAATATTTTAAAATAAGTATATGATTTCTCTCTACATGAATAGTACATATTTTAACATATTAATTTAATTAATTTTTCTGTCCAAATGTAAAAGGTTGCACCAGCATAAGAAAAAGAGAATAGAAAAAGCGTACAACTACTGTGATAGAACAGACCCATATGTGTATTGGAAGTAGAGGTAGTCTTTGATTGACTACTCTGTGAGGGGGCAGATGCTGTGACGTTCTGTTCTTGTAATGGTTCCACTTGTTCCTTGTGCATCCTCTGTTCTTCTGTAAAGCCCGCAACCCATGTGTGTTATTCAGAAGCTTACTTTATATCAATTTATAACCACATTCTTTGTACCTTCAAAAAGGTACATGAGGAATATCACATTTCACTTATTTTTCTTATTTAATATAAAAATTAAGTTAGTCTAATTATTATTTTATTATTAATATTAATATATTAGTAATAACAAAAAGTATTTCAAATAAATAAAAATGTTATATATGTAAATTATATTCTTAAGCAACTTACATATGAAAAAATCAATTTTTATATTTTGTTATGAAATGTTTAAATGATTTATTATATATTACTGATGATTTATATGACTTAGTAGATATTTAAGATAATATGACATACATCAATTTAAAGTTATACAGTGAATGCTTGATGAGTTATTATTCAATGATTAACTTAACAATTACTGATACTGAAACAATACTCAAATACTAAATATAAAATATATTCTTAGAAAACTTACCCAAGGGTGAGAAACTATGTAATTTTTGTGCAGTATGTCTTCTTTGAAGAACAGAAATTGGTTTACTTGCTTCATTGGCAGAAGAACTGCGCATTCTTTGCCGAGGGCCATCATCTTTTACAGAACTTGAATTAGTCATAGCATTGTTGATGGCATGATGCATATTTTGTGCTATATTGTTATCCTCAACCTCCATCCAAAACTCCCCACCACCAGTAACAGCAGAACGTCCTACTTCCATATAAAAGATACGGTCCATACATCCAGACCGTCTTATACAACTCAACTATTGAAAGTAAGGAACATAAAGGTGAATAATTGAAATTGGTATAAATAATAAAACTTACAGAAAATTCGATGGAATCAGATTTATCATCAGCTCCTAGCTTAACTAGACTTAAAACACGATCCGTAAGACATAGTCTATAAGGTCCATTAATATTTTTTCGTTCGCCAAGTCCTTTCTTCTGCATACTAACTTGCCAAATGTGTTCTGAATACAAGCAAATAATATGATTTTAAAATACAAACAGAAAACCTCAATATTAAACAAGTTGTTACATCTAAAAATTGAATAATACCAAATGTTGGTCTTGGCTGTTCTCCATCTGGTTGATCACCATTCTGTAACAGCAAGAGCGCATTGAGCCACTCTTCCAGATCTTTTTCATGATCAAGTACCAAGCAAAAACAGTCATCCTTGGTATAGAGGGCTATAACGTGCTTATGTTTGGTATCCCTGCGCTTATTGATATTAAAGCAGCTGCATACGGAGATACTACGCTTAGGTGGCTGCTTGCTCTCATATTTCTTTTTACTATCATAGTACTCTAAACAGGCTGGATGGCCTAGAGTTTCAGCTCTTAGTACAAAGAACTTTTTCTTAAGAGTCTTGAGTTTCTTAATATGAGCTGCCAACACAACAGCTCCTGGTGATTGTGATGGCAACAGAGACGACATGATGTTATTGTTGTTGTTTAGGTAGAGAGTGAAACAAAACAGCGATTCAATTCTATAGGCTGCGAATAGATGATTTGGAAATCTGTATACTTGGAAACATGTCAGGTACAATGACGATGCGATGAGCACGTGTCGTAAGGGTCGCAGTTTCCTTCTCCCTTTCCTTCCTTCGTTCGTGCGTACTTTCTTTCCTTCTTTGTTTTCCAAGTTCGTTTTTTCTCACATGCGCGCACCCTTCTTTACGTCTCCTCTGCTCCTCTCGTATTTATCGTTATTCTGCTTCGCAGCTATTTAACTCTAGTTCTTTTTTTCTTGCTTTGTCTTTTTCACCGCGCCCTAGACAGCGCTTATACGTGTCCCTGCTTGATCGGACAGCTTCGGGGAGAGTTTAGACTCCGCTAACAACATCCCGTGGTTGCTACTCCTTGCAAACGTGACTCAAGGCTAGGCCAACTCATGTGCGCAATAGGCGCCGATTCGACGGGCTAAGTGTCTAGTAAACACAACGGCGGAGGCGACTGCTGTTATCGTTATTGCTCGGTGTCACTGAACGTAGGCGCTAGGTATCGCAAACACGTTATCCTTCTTACTATATTCGAGCTTTCAATACGTAAACACGCATGTTCTTGCTCACCAAATTGTATCGACGACAGAGGGGAGGCCGAAGGAGCAGCACGAGCGAAGGCCGCAGTTGGTTGTTGACTTGCAGTGGCGTTTCAGATTTTTTGAGGTTTGCTCCTTGAAACACGTTGTCGTCTTGTGGTCGCTCCTTTGTAGCTCCACTCTTGCGTCAAACACTGTATGTTCGTCAAAGCGCTCTAAAAACAAAGACAGCCCTTTGCTTTCTTTCTGTACTCACGAGGACAATTGATAAAGTTTCTGCCGTTCAGTAAGGAAACAGGAGTTTATTGACTGTCGAGGGACTTCACACGCGGCACGCACACACGCGGGCCTAATTCCGATCACTCCCACGAAACACCGACTGACGGCTGGTTATATTGGCTTTGCGCTTACACTAAGCAATAAAATGACGGGCGCTCGTATCCATCTTGAAAAGGTCATATGTGTACAGTGAGCTTCGCAGTTGTAAACAAGCTGTACGCAGGCGCTGAGCTCTCGAATGGCGACGGATCGTTTGGCTGCAATGACCGTGCGCACGAGAGAGACACCAAGTATGTGCGTCCACTAACGAGTTGTATAAACTCCCAGGGGGGACCCATGGGAGCGTCATGTAATCCGATTGACGAGCGATTGTAGGAGCACGTGCTGTCTGTAGTGCAAATTTGAATCTTGAAACTGTTTAAAAACCGTTAAATTAATGTAACCGTCGCTGGATACCGCTAAATAATATGCCGAGCAATGGCCTCGTTCCATTTTTGTATTGTGGAGCATTACGAATTTCGACGATCTACAACCCCTACAATTTAATTCTTCGCCTAACCTGTTCACAGAACTTTTATAACATTGCTAGCTAACGAATTACATTATCAAATGTACGTACGTATTGACGGATATCAAATGTACGTACGTACGAATGACGTTCAATAAATGTAATAACGTAACTATGGGTTCTCTCTTTTTTCCTTTTGATCTATTGTGAACCATCTCTATAAAAGCTCACCTGTTTCTTGGAATTTGTTATTAATCATTAGAATAAATTATTCTGTTACGTAGTTGTAAATTATTTTAATGCACTCTATTATAATTCAAATTCTAAAACTTCTATGCTTTAATCGATGATCAATAATGTTCCCGACACTATCTAATACTTGATGCATAATTTCATTTTTGAATCATGCCTTACCTATTTATTTATAGTTCTGAATTAATTTACATAATCCATGCTTATTATTGTATGTAGCTTTTTAAGTTCCTAAAACATTCTAAAAAAACATAAGTATAATATTAGGTATAAATATATACAATAAACTATTTACTTTAATTTTTTTTCAATTAAAATTTAAAATTAAAATTCCTACAATTTCTTACTCAAAGGAAGATTAATATAGAATAATTAAATGAATTATATTTTTGCGCATCAAGTATCTAATGTAATTTTAGTAGTTTAAAAATTATAAAATAAAATTATCTAAAAAGCAAATACAACAAATAGAGAAAAATATACAAGTAAGTTTAATGTTCTTCTCAATATACAAACAAAAATTTGTATTGTATTGTAATTATAGTAAATAGACAAAATTAGAATTTATTTACAAATCAATATAACTTTAAGGATTTAGTTAATATATAAGCTATATATTTAACAATTTTTACATACATGTTTTGAACTAAATGGTTTCGTATAGAAATACATGATAAAATTAACTAATACAATTATAAATATAATTAAAAAAAATGTACCCACGTTCAATTTTTAAAAAGTAACAAAATATAATAATTTTTAGCATACTTAAAATAATATGAAAAAGGTAATATTTTCATATATATTGAAAGAACTATAATAATGTCATATTTGGAGTAGGTACGTGAAATTATATAAAACAGTTATTTTCATATGATATAAAATAATATAACGCTATATAAAATATTTGATATTATAGTTTACAAGAAATCATTTCTATAAAAAATTAATTTATTGGTTCAAAATAGTTAAGTAGTTTTATACAATAATAAAATATAAACAAACCAAAAAATTAACATGCATAGAATATATATACATATATTTACTAGGAGTATAAAGGAAAATTTTGATATAAATTTTGAAAATATGTTTTAAATATATATGTTATCAAATTATTTTAAGTGTCCGAAGATTTATTATCAATTCATATAACATCTCATTTATACAAGTATATAATTGATTCAATTTTTTATATATTCTATTTAAATATAAGCATATTTTAGTTTATGCATTAAACTGCTATTTTCTATTCTTCAATTAATTATATTCTATATGTAGGATGAATTGAAATGACTACACTGGAAGTTAAGAAAAAAAATGCACCAGTTCGGTAACTAAAATTTTTACATTTTCTTTACTATTTAACTCGGTCAAGAATGGTTATTGACTATGCTTATTGACAATGTTTATTACTAAGTAAAGGCATTTTGTAATATTCAATATACAGTCAATTAAATTTTCAAAATTATATCACTTTATATATTCTACGAAATTTTAAATTATTTTTTAAAATATGTTAGTAAAATATTAAAAATCAAACTGAGTATTTTTAAAATCTATATATTTTTAAAATCTATAATTGATGGATATTTTTAAATGAGATTATTTTAAATTAATATTAATTATGAAATTTTTAGTTAATATTTTATTACAATGATGTAATTTTTAGTTTAGTAATATTAAATTTGAACAAAGAATAAGGAATTTTTGTAAATAATTTTACTACTATTACAAAAACTTTTATAATAAAACACCACTCTCACTATCAAAATTGTTTTCAGTACTCATAATCATTATTTATAAGGGAGTTAAGGTTTACTTGCATACATTAGTCTTTTTCGCTAATTCAATTAATTTTTTTAATTATTAATATATTGCTCAAATTTGCTTGCTTTTATTTTATACTTTTTTTTAAAGTGAACTAACTAAAATACAACTTTAATAAATTTAGATTTATTAAATTTACATTTATTAAGTATGGTAAAATTTTATGTATATATTTCGTTATGATATAATCCTATTTATTATTTGGCGGCAGTAAATAAAATTAATTTTATTTTAAGAAATCCAATGTAATATCTGAAAATTTGAATATAGTGTTAAAAAGATGTAGGAAAAACGTTATAAATGATATTTTAGTTATAAAGATGAAATTTTTTAAATAATGAAAATAATGTAAATTATATACCATTTATATTAGATATTTTTATAAACAATACAATTAATAAATAAAATAGAAAAAGGTTATAATACATTGTTTCATTACTTAAAAAAAACTATATAAATATTGAAAATTAATTATTCTAGAGTACAACTAAAAAATATTTCAATAGCATATATTATCTGTATAAATGTAAATATATAGTAATAAGTATAGTAAAGAAAATATGTATAAAAAACTGAATTATACACTTAAAAAATAGAGATATATACATAGATATATAGACATTACAACAAATGTTGAATACAAAATAAAGAAAACAAAAATTTATTACGGAAGTAATCAAATTAGATATTTTGAAAATTAATAGAGTCAATATTTTATAAACGACAATCCAATTTTTTTAAAAATGTTTAATTACTTTAATGCTAAACCCTACAAAAAAGACAACTGCATAATTTATGATGTAATTACATATTAGAAATGTTTAATCACATAGTGTTAATACAAATAATTTTATCAATTAATCTTAATTATATGTCTATATTGTTATTGGATTATTCAATTAAATTACAGTAAAAGAATATGAAGGATAATTTAAATGATTCTTCCTGTTTTTGGTATTATTGAAATAAATGAATTGTAAAAAAAGATATCCTTTCATATAATTCTCATATTAATTGAAAAATAAACAATACATTATTATTATATTTCTAATTTATATGTATTGTATATCTTTTCAATTATATTAGTAGTCATTTGTTTTTGTACAATAATGATGCTTAACTTGAATATATTTGTGTATTAATAAGCAAGTTTTAAAAGACTGAGTAATTTCACAATTTTTTACAGTATCCAGTTGACCATCTACACCATTGAAAATATACATATTATCAGTATAGGAACCACTTCTCTATAATACATTAATGTAAATTTAAAAATGTAATAATTAAACTTAATTGGTGGAATTAATTAATGTTAATACACTTTTATAGTAACCTTCTGAGGTTATAATTATGATTGCTTACAAACTTTACTATGTCGTGTGATAAGCATTTGATCCATACAAGCAACATATGTTGCTATATTAAAATAAATATCAATATCATAAACCATAGCATTTTTTTTTAAATATATATTTATAATTGTAAAATTTAAAAATAATAATGCTTATAGATTTTTCAATTTAATGAAGCTAATGCAGTTTTTAAAATAGTTTTTAAAAGTTTTTGAAATCGCCATTTATGAAGGTATAAAAATAGCATGAGCTGATTTCCAAATTACAAAAGATGTTGCAGGAATAACTAATGTTTTTCACGAAGAAAATAGAAATAAGAAACTTGGTTAAACAAGT